CCCTGGCTTAGTGGATGTCCCATGAAAGGAGACCCACAACCACCATATATTTAGCACTTCATTGCTTTCCTTGCATTCATATGACAGGTTGTAATCTGCGAGGCAAGGGTCTGCCCTTGCAAGAAATGATACAGCAAAATTTCCTCTAGTCCCAACACCCATGCTCAGTGTCAACAGAGCTCAATCGATTAAGAAATCAATCTGTACGAAGCAACAACTCATGGGTTGCAGCTCACAGTGGGCCTATACTCGCACAAACTCCTCTTAGCAACAGTTCCTTTTAAAAAAGAGAGAGAAAGAAGGAAAGATGAATTCTGATTCAACTATTGACTGCACTTAATGGACACTCTTCTGATTCTAAAGAGCAAAAATGCAATAATGGTGCAGATCTAGATGTGATGGATTCATGGCCAATGGCCCAAATTTATCTGATTTGACCAAAAGGTGGGAGTTAAGAAAGAAGCAAAAGGCAGCTCCTGATGTCCAGGAATTGATCTGATGCTCCCAGGTAGACCTCAATGGTGTTACAAACAGATCTGATGCTGACAGGGAAGCCATGCTATTCTCCGGCTAGATGTAAGCAGTGTCACATAGCATCTATTTCAGCAAAGTAACTGGGAAACCCACAGATGCCAACACCATCTCCTCCTCATTAAACAATGGCTGAGATTTCTTTAGCAATTATACCTTTCTCTTTGCTCTAGTCTGCCATTTCTACAGGCTCATTGACATTAAGATTTCTACTTAAAGAATTGCCCTTGCGTCCAATCCAAAATGAATCCTTAACTCTCCTCAAACAAGGCCCAAGTTCCATAACAGGTTCTTATAACACCCTCTTACTGAGTCACCCCAGGCTCTGAACACAGTGTGTATTCAGCATCACTGCAGCGATTCACAGACCCAACTTGTTCAACTACAGATATCAGTTATGATCAGACACTGATATAGTGCAGACACTTTTCAGTCCCCCTGTTGTGAGTTGAACTGTGCCCTCCCTAAAAGATATAATCAAGTCCTAACCCTTGGTACTTCGGGACTTTATTTGAAAATAGGGTCATTGAAAATGTAATTAGTTAGCAGGAGGCCATATCGCAGTAGGGTGACTCTTAACCGCAATCATGACCGGAGTTTTTATAAAACACCGAAGAGACACAGAGACAGAGACTTGGGGAAGATGGTCATGCCAAGACAAAGGCAATGATTGGAGTGATGCTGCCACAGGCCAACAGATGTTAAGATTTGCAGGCCATCATCAGAAGTAGGAGCAAGGCATGGGGTGGAATTCATAGTACTGACGCCTGCTTTCCGACTTCTAGACTCCAGAATTTTTCAAGAAGAAACGTCTGTGGTTTGAAGTCATCTAGTCTGTGGTACTCTGTTACAGCAGCTCTAGGAAGTGAACACAGCTCCCACGTCAAACCCCATGATGCTCCCCCTGGTAGATGGGATCCTCCCCCACCTCTCAATCTTCAAAACATTCTTGTTCATGCTGAATCCCCACTTGCTTTCCACCCAACACCAATTCATCTCATCCTTGTGAAAGATCTGATTCCTGCCTCATGCTGTATCCCAAAGCGAGATTTTTGATTCCAGTGATGGGATGAACGCCGGGGCAGCTCACCTCAGGATTAATTTCCAGATTCTTTGAGCTGCACACAGTGTAGCGGGAGCCTATGTAGAGCGGGGTCAGTGGCGGTGGCTTGTGTAGTTGCACAAACTGGAACTTCTTTTCTTCATCGTCTATGGCCTAGGGAACAAGGATTAAAGGGGTGCCTGACTCAGAGTTATCCCTAGGCAGCCTGAGCAAGGGGAGAGGGTCTTCCGTGTGTTTATTAGCAGGAGGGGCTGTAGCACACAAACACCCCTGATCCTCACGCACCGCTGTACCAAGAACCCCACACTTGGCTCCCACCATCCTCAGGGTGGGAATAGGAGTATTGCTAGAGAGGAAGGGAGAATGGGAAAAGGCTAGAATGCTGGGCATGGAACCTTCCCATCCGTTGGGTCCTGGAAAACTACAAAAAAACCCAAACTCATTTCTATCGCGCCAATGCTGACTCATAGCAACTCTACAGGACAGGGTAGAACTGCCCCTGTGAGGTTCCGAGGCTGCCCCATCTTTCTCCTGAGGTGCCCAACACATAACCACTATGACCCCAATGCCCCTGGATTTGGCTCCTGGAAAGAGGCT